ACTTGTCATAAACTCTGGTAGCTTCACAGATCTCGATGATGTTGATAGTCAAACCCATGAACGACATGTCATACATTCTGGTAGCTGCAAAGATCACGACGATGTTGGTAGTCAAACCCATGAACGACATGTCATAAGTCCTGGTTGTTGCACAGATCACAATTATGTCAAATCTTGCAACCACTATTAAGTCGAACAGTACAAATTTGTGAAGGTAAAACTGTTTGACTGTCACTGACTTCTTACTCTACGTAATAGGTCAGTATAGTGATGTAAAACGTTAAATGAGGTATAAACTAATAAATACACATAAAAATAATATTAATCAGTGAACATAATGATTATACAACAAATATATTGAAGGATAAAATAAAGGATCGACAATTAGTGGGCTATAGCAACAGAAGGAAATGAAATATAGAAAAATCAAAGGATATTAACGAATCAAATAAAAATGTTGAAAGATTCTTTATTGTTTCTTTATTTTTATCTATCTTATTTTGTTGTTTTTATCTTTTATTATTATTACACTTTTATTATAGAGATTGTTTTGCTTTGTTGGCTTATTGTGTTTATTTAGGACCGAACTAAATCTGACTGAGCCTCGTGAAATATTATTGGGTTTACGGCCGAAAATGTCGTTAACAGCGAGACTACCCAAATGATGAAACAATTTATTTTAATCTTTCTAAGTAAGAACGGAAGAAAAGTATATTTAGTTAGCTACACTTATGAACAGGTTGATTTTTAGTTTCGCTCTAAGTAGGCAGTTTGGAAGTTAATATAGGTTAACATCCAGTTTGTTAGTTACAGAAAGACTTTAGGTTAAGAGATTTATTGACAGTGCTACGTCCTGTATATGATGTTTTTATCAAGTTGATAAAGCAGCTACAGGGGACCACCCAATGTTCACAACACCTACCTCGTCTTACCTTAGATGATGTCATCACGAACCAGGTGATCATTGCAATCCCAGAAAACGTAGATATTGTGACAAGATTCCGAAGATCCCACACTGACTCCACGAGAGGAATACTACCCATCTGCCAATCATAGGAGAGAGTAGCCGGATATAGAAGCAGGCCCAAATTGAACGCAGTTAGATAAGAGTATGTGAGAAACCTATAAAACAACAGATTTCATAAACACGCGCTAAAACACTACGTTACGAATGTACAAGACAACAGTTATAAAATACCAATAAAAATGTCACATATGAAATGACTAAACAAGTTAATCAAGTTATCAAAAATCGTATGTGAAACACAGACTACATCAATAATAAGTACTGGTTTGAGAAGGTGGAGCAAAGAAACAAATCAGACAAAAATATAGATTAACACGTAGATAAAATAAACAAACATCAACAAGAATGGAAGATTATAGGCCGTGATGTACTCCATCCACGACACCAGCATCAGTGGGGCTTTCTCACAGCACCAAGAATAGTTGTTGGGGTCGAAAGGGATACATGGATTGTCCCTTATAATTGTTTACAATTCCCTGTGCTTTTATTTAAAGAAAATATAAAAGAAAGTTCAGCAAACTGGAGACATGAATCATCATTTTCACGCTGTAAAAAACTTATCATTTTGTTTTCAGAAAATCCCAAGGCATTACAAATCTAATGCCTAGTAGAGGATTATTTATTTTTCATTTTAAAAACATTGTAGTAAAGTTACTTAAGACCTGAAGTAGCAGCTTTATCAATTCTTATTTCATTATCTGTGTACTTAATAGCTGCAGAACCTATAGCAGTTTTATATACACACACGACGTTTTATCTTCATCAATGTAGTCATCCTAATTCTTTGGACACAAAAACAATCTTCTTCTTTTCCTGTGAAGAAACCTTTTCACTGATGAGGAAATCTCTCGTATCGTTGGAAGCAATCTTTCAGTTCCAAATTACGTACTTCAGAAAATAATATTTATTTTTCATGGTTAAAAATTTAAGTTATTCAGATCTGAGAAGTAAAACATCTGTACAGAAACAAAATAATTTAAGTTTCAGAGCATACCTGAATTCATATTTACTTTACTCATTCGTTTTTAATCAAAGACCAAGTGATTCAGTTTTTAGACGATATTTACAGTAGGCACGTTGAATTCACGAGCGTTCGGTTGTTGTGTAATTGGGACTCAAGCTCTGTGTGCATTCATTAGCTAGCATTGTTAGGTTTCACTGGTTTATTTAACATATTGTTTGCATAGTATTGATTTAGTGCCAACGTTTATACAAAGCGATTGTTGGGTGAGGATAAGTCACCGCAGAAAGGTTAGTATTTGATGAGTATGGGTTTTAATAAAGTCCCATATAACGTGCCCATTGACTTGAATAATATCTTTCATGTTTAACAGCGACTTGGAGATGGTCGTACTTGGCGAACGGCAGCCAAGTAAAATACCTTATCTGGCGAACGGAAACAAATGAAAACATCTCATCTGACCAATAGCAAAGAAGGAAAACATCTTATTTGGCGAACAGCAACTAAAGAAAACATCTCATCTGACCAATAGCAAAGAAGGAAAACATCTTATATGGCGAACAGCAACTAAAGAAAACATTTTATTTGACACACAGCAACAAAGGAAAACACCTTATCTGGTAAATAGTAACTAAATACAAACACCATATATGATAAATAGTAACTAAATAAAATACCTTATCTGGAAAGTAGTAACTAAATATAAACACCATATCTGATAAATAGTAACTAAATATAAACACCATATCTGATAAATAGTAACTAAATAAAATACCTTATCTGGAAAATAGTAACTAAATAAAATACCTTATCTGGAAAGTAGTAACTAAATATAAACACCTTATCTGGTAAATAGTAACTAAATAAAACAACTTATCTGGTAAATAGTAACTAAATAAAAACACCTTATCTGGTAAATAGTAACTAAAAAAAACACCTTATATGATAAATAGTAACTAAATAAAAACACCTTATCTAGTAAATAGTAACTAATAAAATAACTTATCTGGTAAATAGTAACTAAATAAAACACCTTATCTGATAAATAGTAACTAAATAAAATACCTTATCTGGAAAATAGTAAATAAATAAAACACCTTATCTGGTAAATAGTAACTAAATAAAACACCTTATCTGGTAAATAGTAACTAAATAAAACACCATATGTGGTAAATGACACCTTGAAAAAATGCTATATGCTAAATATAAAATTTGGAAAGGTCTTACTTGGTAAACATCAACTTGTAAACGAACTTTCTTGGCGAACAACTATTTGGAAAACATTCTACCTGTTGAGTACAAAGCAACTTGAAAAAAGATCTTTCTTGGCAAACAGAAGCTTACCAAAACCTTATTTGATTTATAGCAACTTGGAAAAGGTCTTCGCTGGAAAATGGGAATTTGGGAACAACAACTTTGGAAAGATTCTGACGGTTAAAAATAACATTAGAAAAGGTCTCACCAGATAAATATCAACTTTGAGAACATCTTGTTTGGATTAGAGTAACCAGGTGAAGGTTCTTATCTGATAATTATGAACATGTAGAACACCTTGTTTGAGTTAGAGTAACCAGGTAAAGGTTCTAAACTGATAATTATGAAGTTGGAGAATACTTTGTTTGAGTTAGAATAACCAAGAAGGTTCTTATCTGATAATTAGGAACTTGTAGAACAAACACCTTGTTTGAGTTAGAGTAACCAGGTGAAGGTTTTTACCTGATAATTATGAACATGTAGAACACTTTGTTTGAGTTAGAATAACCAAGAAGGTTCTTATCTGATAATTAGGAACTTGTAGAACGCCTAACGTTCTAATTTGATGAAGACAATTATAGAAAAGGCTCAAACCTGGTAAACAGTGACCGAGAAAATGCAGCTGGATTGTCTTGATCAGAGAACTGGGGTAAACTTCCATTGAGTAGCCACACCCGAAACCCCACAAGAACATTTAACTGGAATTCAAAGAGAAAATAATAAATAAATGAAATGTTTTATCTTAGATAATTCTTATCTAAACTAAACAGGTAAGCCTAAACCCCTTGAAAGATCACATGTACACGTCCTATAGTTAACGACCACCTTCACGCTACACATACACGTCCTACAGTTAACAAGAAGTACGTTTACAAAACAGTCAGGGGTCACCAAATCACTTACAACGCTAAAATCCGGGGTTCGATTCCCTGCGATTGACACAGCATATGGCTTTGCTCTAAACAGAGATTCGGCAATAAGTTATTTAAGAATCGCCACCTATCGATCTTTAGAGAAGAAGCGAACTATTATATGTACACAACTCAATAGCTTTATGTGCTGGAATTCTTGCAGCAAAACTTACTTGATATTTATACAACTCTGTGTTTGTCTTCGAATATATTTATTACAAGGTATGAATCCTTCTGTCCCTCTATACTTTTATAAGTGTCCCGACTGCATCTTTTTTTTTTTACAATCAAAACTTGAAAGTTTAACCCGGTATACTTTTAGAGTGAACAGCGTGAAATCCAGAAGTTTAACCCGGTATACTTTCAGAGTGAACAGTGTGAAACTTGGAAGTTTAACCCAATATACTTTCAGAGAGAAACCCGGAATTTAGCTCGGAGGTTCATACGTCTATCTCAATCTTCATCATCTTACCGAACGAAAGAGGATTTACTCTAAACAATGTGAGCTAATTTTCACAAAATTCCAGTATTGTTGTAAGTGATTTATATATTGTTTCAGTGGTAAGGCCTACAAAGCTCAAATTTCACAATCTTTTGTAGCAATACTCAGTTTTCTTTGTCCTGAAAATGCGCGCGCACTTTATTTCAACAGACGTAAACAAAAGGCGGATGTAAATATACAAGCCATTATCCTCCAGAAGGGCACTCGGGAATTGTTTAATCACTTAACAGCAGTACTGTATCTTCTCAACTCTGGAAGCAAGCAAATGTTTTTATGTTTCTAAAGGAAGGAAAACCAGCGAATAAACCAGGAAGCTACCTACCAATTAGTCTGACTAGTTGTGTAGGCAACATTTTAGAAAGAATTATCAGTAATAAGCTCTCCACTTTTCTGGATATGTCATCAAAATTACCTGAATTTCAAAATAGTTTGTGTTTTTCTTATAGCTAAGCCACATCGAGCTATCTGCTGTGTCCACCGAGGGAAATCGAACCCCTGATTTTAGCTTTGTAAATCCGGAGACTTACCGCTGTCGAAGCGGGAGACTCAAAATGGTGTCAACAAATTTCAACAAACAACAGATCATTTAGTTAGGTTAATTGAAACCATAGTAAATAGCTTTAATTAAGACAAATACAACTGTTTCCTGTTTTCTCGCTATCGAGAAACCATTCGACACTGTATGGCATAACGGACTACGATACCGCATGGAAAAAATGGATTTACCGACAGGTGTTGTTCGCTGGTTGACCAGCTTTTTGGATAATAGGAAATGTAGAGTGAATGTGGAGGGCACCTACTCAGAGTATTTTACTCCTGAGACAGGTATTCCCCAGGGAGGGGTAGTTAGTCCTATCCTCTTCATCATGTATGTACGCGACATACCCCTAACATATCTAAGTTTTAGTCTTACTTCAGAATTCGCAGATTGTGTGGCAATATGGAGTCCGACGACCTGTATAATAGCTGCCACAAATTTACAACCAGTACTAAATTAAACACTTTGTACAACAACATATTAAACGCTATTCAAAGTTTTTAAAAGGATCTAACGTTACATCGTAAAATAACATCGTAGAAAAGTTTATTTATTGATAGTATTAAGTACGGAAAAGTTTAGTTCTAACTAAACTAAAGCAAAAACGTACACAAGTTACAGTGTTAATTCATCTCTTTATCGAATATACGCCGTATTTAATAAAGGCTTAACTAATGTTAAGCCTAAGAAAAGTGGACTTGCAGATTTTGGTGTCCACGATTGGAATTCTTTTGTATTACTCTAGAAATCCTGTATTTAAAGAAGTGCTCTTACAATAAAGATACTGTTACGTATCTGCTCGTTTGTTAATTTCCAGTATAAATTCTTTCCGAGGAACTTCAACGATACAAGTCCTTTCTTAATTAAAACTAGTTTATTCTTTCTTGATACAACTTGTCAGTACACATAATTTACACAGTCACAATAAACTTAACAAACTTTATAACACACGCTATAAATCACAGTGATTCACACACTTTACTTGCGGTGACTGCTCTTCAATCTATCTGCATGTCTCTGCAATTGGGCTGATTTTTCTCGCCAAGCTTATATACTAAAAAAGAGGGCGTCTAGCAAACACTCGGACATTCGCGAGGTTCCCCGATAATTCTAGAAACTACAGCGCGCATGCTCCCAGGTGTCACGGGACTTCCGCTGTCGTAACAATACTAATTTGACTGCAAATGTTTTGCGGGTCTCTGCTAGTTAGATAATAATGCTGTCATGGTTTGTAAATAATTTAAACGTCAATTTAGTTGTTAACACATGTTTTCCAAACTCTCATTGAAATGAAGTCAAATTTCGTAGGGAGTTGTTATATAAAATTATTCTTGGTTTGAAAGCCAGGGCCAAAATAACAATATTCTTCAAAGTTAAGGTTATAATAAGAATGTTCTTCATCAAAGCAAGTTTACAATAAGAATATTTATGAAAATCAAGGTTACAATAAGTTTTTCTATGAAAGAAGAGGCCACAATAAGAATATTTTTTTATCAAAATCAAGATCACAATAAGAACATTCTTCAAACTCAAGGTCATAGTAAGAATATTTTTTTTTTATCAAAGTCAAGGTCAGGAAAGAATGGTTTATACTAAAAATTAAGGTCACTACAAGGAAGGTCTATAGTATCAAAAATCAACCTAATAATTAAAATAAGTCATATCAAAAGTTGGAGTGACAATAAGAATACTTTTTATCAAGGTCAAGATCACGATAAGAATATTTTATTCCAAAGTCAAAAATGGTTTGTAAAAAAATGAATATCACAGAAACAATGTTCTGTATTAAATGTTAAGATCAAAACAAGAATGTTTAAAATCATACTAAGTGCAAGATCACAGCTAGAATGGACAATATCAAAGGTCATGTCACAATTATAATATTCTAGAAGATAAATACTAGAAAAATACAATTTTTACGTTAGATTTGGCCTTTGACATCAATGTCGTGTTGAAGATTATCGTAGTTTCTACAAAACAAAACTAAAAAGAAAAAAACAACAGGTGGCTCAGTGGCAAGTCTGAGGTTTATAACACTAAAAATCAGGCTTCGATACTTGCTCTGGAAAGCCGATTGTGTAGCTTTGCGGTTAACAACACACAAAACAAGTTTCAATAAAAGTAATATTTTATGAGCAACGCTATTTCTTTGAAAATTTTTTACTGAAAAAAAGAAAAACTGTTTATTCTAGAATTATCTTCTATATAGTGGTGAAATGACGAGGTCTCTTCAAGAAGTAAAAAGAGTTTCAATTGAAATAGTAATGATTAACTCCTACTTGTCTAAGCAGCTCGAGAGAATATCAAAGTAATTAGTGAATGTGGCTGCCAGAAAATGGCGCTCTCTACTTACTGTTGCACTTTTGTATTGTTCGACTTCGTCACCGCTAACTGGTGCTCTCAAAAGGCCCGAAATACTAAACGCGTTTCTAGCTACAGTAGCTTCATCTTAATGGGCAGTACATTTTAATCAACTAAGAAGAAAAAAGTATAAAAAAATAGGAATTTCCATCATATGATTCCACCAGCTTTTACAATTAGTAATATTGATTTAGGAAATGGACAAATGAGGACTGAGAGTAAAGAGAAGAAAATGATCGCGCGAGAGAGAAATAAAGGGAACCTCAACTAAGCTTGAGTAAACTTCAACAGGATTGAAAACCGCTGAAATTCTGTCATTACGTAATATATTATTCTGAAGGTTAAGTAATATAGAATTCTAAAAATAAACTATTGTTGAGGTTTCTCTTTGGGAGAACCTCGCCTGTAATATTTTAAAATTCAAATGATTAATTATTTATATTTGACAACACACCCAATAAGCACGCATTCTTTTATTTTTAAAGTAAAGTATTCCTTCCTAAGTAGTTAAAAGCATTTAGTTAGTGTTTATTATATATATAGCTCACGAAGTAAGTTCCAAATCCTTATATGCAAATTTTCGTTTTTATCCCTTTCAACTTATAAAATTGTTCGAATTTAACCACTTTTTAGGAACAAACATGTACAATACACCACTATATACAATGAAGAGAAAAAAGGGGTGTACAGAAGAAAAGCTTAAGAAACCGGTTTGTATTATATAATTTAAAAGTTTTCCTTAAGGTTTTTTAAATTATTTTATAATAAATATAAAAGGTATTTAGATAAATTTATAAATAATGGCAGTAGTTATCGGGGCATTTGCAGTACGCACCACCAGAGGGCGGAACACTCGTGTCTCCCCTCAGGCAACGGGGAGGGGAGGAAAGGGTAGAGACGATGATGTCAGAGTTCAACAAAGTGGCACCAGAGGGCGCTGGGCTACAAAATATGTCATTAGAGAGAATGACGTCATAGTTTCATGAAGTGGAACCAGACGGCGCGTTGTTAGGAATGCGTTGCAAGGCCGCCATAACAGGCGAAGATGACGTCAGAGTTTATCAAAGTGGAAACACAATCATGATGAGATCATATCTCAACATGTAATCAAAGGCTAGATTTAATACAATCGATTTATCTATAAAACACTAATTCATTAGGTCTATATTAAATCATACTTTTTTTACATTTCCTGACCTTTTATGTGTAAATCACTTATCGTCCTGAAAAAGACGCTTATTTAACATACAAACTTACGATCGTTACTTTATATTTTTCATTTACTCATGTTTTACAAATGTGGATGGTGTTCTACATATACATTGTGTTACTAAGGCAAGTTGTTTTTCAATGGGTTTTCAATTACTTCATCAATGTCCTAAGTAA